TGTGAATTTTTTGAGTGTTTGCCAAAAGTGATTCATGCACATGCATAATGATTGATATTTGGATGTAGAATAGAGTTTTATGTCATCTTGTAGCATCATAAGTGGTCAGCTTCTAGTCCTCTTGTCTTCATGTTTATCAATTTTTACAAATTTGAATGATCGTGACTTAACTGGGATGCTATTTTGTTGTCGCATTGCCTAACTAGAGGTTCAATTGAATTTAGGCAAATATGAGCTGACACTCATGCCTAGACTTCACTTTGATTTTAGTTTTTGTGACTTTTTCAACTTTATGTCATTTTTTGACTTTTTATGTCACTTTTTTTTAACTTTATACCACTTTTTTTTTTAATTTATTGTCACTTTTTTTTGAGTGTATGCACTGTTTTAGTTGTTCTATATCAAAAACATATTTTCAGTCATTATAACATGTTACAAACGTGTATTTTTTGTTGAATTTTATTGTAACTGTATCTTTTTTTTCTTTTTATAGGATTGAGATTTGTTAATCTCTCAATAATGCTGGTTCAAAGGAAAAGTGACATTATTATCTCCACACGAGGTGATAACAAAATTAAATGAAAATTTTAGTTCTTGTCAAATGACTTTATTTAAGAATACATGCTTTGGTGTCTTCATTGATTTGAAGGAAATAGTATTGCAACCACAATTGATATACAAGTTGTTGTTTAGACAAGTTAAGCAGCCAAATTCAAGTGAAATGTAATTCAACATATGTGACAAATCTGTGAGATTTTCAGTTGAAGAGTTTTGTTTGATATCGGAGCTTAAATGAACTGGCAATGACGACTTTACCCGGTATAAAATGAAGAATCGTTTGAAAGAATAGTACTTCAAAGATTATCAAAGCATCTCAACAAAAGATATCCAAGAAGTGTTTGTAAATTTGCTTGCTGACACTTTAGATAAAGATGTTGTTGATATATGCATAGTTTAATTTATTTAATTACATCCTTTCCTTTTGGTACATCGTATCATACGGTAGTTGATGACTCATTTTTTTTTGTCTTGTGGAGTTGAATTCTTTTCCGTGGGGTATAGAAGTTTTTAGTACGACTCTATCATTCCTAAAGTGTGCATTTAATTAGAGAATAAAGAATATTTTTATGAAAAAGAAGTTTTTAGAGCACAGATTGAATGGATTCTTAGTTACCTTTCAAGTTTAGATTTATAAAACTATCCATGCTATTGTTTGGAAGAATTACTGCATTAAGCATAAATCTCAGCTTCCTTGGATGTTGAATTGGAGCAGTAATCAGCATGTGACATCTGTGGGGTTAAGCAAGAGCATTTTTTATTTGATTAAAGTAAGTTTTGTACCATTTTATTATTTATTTTATGCATTTAGTCTTTCCTGTTATTAATATAATTATGTATTTTTCAGTTGGAAGTAAAACGAATTGTACCCCTGGAGGCAGAGA